TTGTACCTCATCTCCGACGCCGACAAGAAGGAGTTTACCAATTGGACTAAATTCCGCGAGTTGGCTAAGCGTGAAAACATGGTTCCGCGCATTGTCAAGACGGAGTGGCTGCTTGCTGTCGCGATGACGCAGTATGTGCACTGGACTCCGGAGTGGGAGTTGAGTGAAGAGGTTGTTAATGCTGCGAAGAAGTAGGTCTTCGCTTGTCGCAACTGTTCAACGGCTGATGATGGGTTAATTCTGTATAGACTCGCTTCGTGCGGTCGCGATATGGATGCGGGTATCTGTATTGGTATGTTTTGAGCGGTTTATGTCATTGTTTTGTGTTGCATTGTTAGCGATAGGTTCATGGCATGGGCGCTGAAGTAGCGTGTATATCAAGGAAGCTTCACGTTGGCTCATTTACCGTATGCAAATGTTCCTGTCTCCGCCACGGTGATATCATGTGTGGCTGGGTATCCCCTTTTTTCCGTTCATTGTTACCAAGGCTAACATATCCCCTGTGGCACATTCTCTTGGCTCGGTCCGCGGGTGCGGTAACGCGTACGGCACAGTCGGGCCATGCAAGAGGTCTTTGTGGCACAGCGATCCCCTGTGTGAACTTCGCCGCTTATTGAACTGTGCCGTGGGTCTGTGTTTGGGCTGTTGATCGGCGATGCCGAGATCGCCTTGAAGATGGCTATTGAGTATGCGCCAGTGATGTAGAGGGTGTTTGTCCAGACGTGATCGGACGTGCTACTCTTTGGGATGTAATCCGGGTATGATATTTATGACATTGACCGTAAGGCGAAGTTCGTCGTGACGAGATTAACGAACTCTCAGCTGGCTGGCCCAGGATGACCGGCATAGAACGTGATCTCGGCTGTGTACTGTGATAAGGATGTAGGAGCTTTTCTGTTCACATAGTCAAATAGCTCTGAATTTAGGATTGAATATGATGTCATTTGAAGCTTGCATGTCTTATCCAAGACCATGGGCTTTTGCCGGGCCTGAGGATCGATGCGCGTCGTTAGTGCTCACTCCGAGTGAGCCGGGATGCCAACACATACAACAACGACCAGGCAACTGGGATGCCACATTTGGGGGCGGAAAGAGCTTAAGCTAGCCGCAGTATAGTGGTGAAGGCAACTGTTGATGAGAAGTCTTGCATGAGAACGAAGTATACAAAGGATTTCACAACAGGGGGAAATTGCTTAGAGGGTATGATCAAATAACTTTTTGCTTTCATAAGACATGAGACAGAAGTGTCTAGATAATACTCGACTGCGTGTTATGACAAGTGCAGGAGCGTAGACAGGGTATATAATGATGCTTGTGCAGAAAAGACGGCGAAATCGCGAAACAACAGAAAGAGAAAGTAAGACATTTGAACTTTCAGCTCGTGAACTCCTCATTACCCTTCACCCTCCCTAAGGGCCTACATGTATGCCCAGATCTCTTCTCTACTCCGACGTCGTGTGAATAATCTTCGGAATCTGTGGCATCGCAACCATAGGCGTCGACTCATAGTATCGCGCCCGTTGACTCGCCGTACTCGTACTGCGAGCACGCCCCGTCTGTGCCGGCCGTAAACTCATGTCACCCTCGTCTCCACCCGGCGATATGGGACTGAGTACCATAGTACTAAGCGTACCGTTACTCTGTCGGCTCATCGCACTAACACCCGTACCAGCGCTCTCTGTATTCTCAGCGATGGGATCACCAGCCTCCTCACTCGGCGTGACCTGTAGTGGAACGAGATGCATGGTATCCGTACTCGATCTCTTGTTGCGCGCATCCGCTTCCGAGTCGACGTACAATGTGACGCTGCTTGCGCGGACGCGGCTGAACATGCTGGTCTTGTCTTCGTTGGCGAGGAGGCCGGCGGTGTCTGACTTGCGGTTGTCGAGCTTCTTCTTTTCGCGGAGGCGGTGGAGATAGAAGATTAGGCAGGCGAGGATTATGGCGAGGAAGATGAGGCCGAAGACGACGGTGAGGGCGATGTTGGCTTTTGTCCAGTAGCCTGAGTAGGGTACTGAGGCTAGGTCTTCGTCTGCGACGAGGTTGTTGTCTACTGGTATAGGAGACATGGTGGTGTATCTTTGTGTAGGCGAAGGATCTTTGATGCGAATCGGTCGGTGAGGCTTCAGATGGATGGTGAAGCTCTTTGCTTATATGTAGTGCTCGATAGGAGGCGATGTGGCGGTGCGATGAAGATACAACAACTACTACGCCTCGAAAATATGATGATATATAGTTATGAGATTGTTGAGACGAACTTGCTCGAGTAATCCCTTATGTGCTATTGCTATGAACTGGTACCGGGCACCAGGCAGACATAAGTCTCTCCGTAAAATGAAACCTTTGACGCACCGGCCTTGGATCCTGCGCCCATGGCGCTGGATCCGTGAGAAGGCGTCCAGTATGCGGCTCGAAAGTGGGAAAGATATGCTCAGCCTCAGCACGTTGTGGGGAAAGTAGGCCCATGAAGTCGGAGAAAAGTCACTGCGCCCCTGTGGTATGATGAGCAGCTTGGCGCAAGACAAGAGGCCTAACGAATGATGGGCGTCGAGAACGGTCGTCGAAGCTTGGACTGCCGCGTCTAATCGAGGAATCAGAAGGAGCTGTGTGGCATTCTGGTGGTGGCACGGGTTCGTAGACGGCGGTGACGGGCGTGCATGTCGGGGCCCCATCTGTTGTCAGTCCACTTGGGAATGGTTCTCTACCGCGTGCGAGCCACGTCCGAGCGGTTTCGCTCATTCTGTCTACGGAGCTGAAGCTATCAGTTCAGCTCGTGGAACCATACAAATTGAGTGGCTGCTCTTTTGAACGACTCCCCATTCCAGTTTTCTGCCACACAACATCAACACAGATTCGGCGGCCCAATACGAGGGCCTCTACAAAGACAGTGATGTGCCAAAGGGTTGTGCTGTAGGATCAACGTTTCGAAATTTAGGCAAGCACAGCCACCTGCGCTAAAAGAAATGAGCAGCAACAATCATGAATCGACACAAGGCTGAGCGCCTTACGCTTCTTCTGCGTGTCTGCCTGAGCCAAGCCCAAGGAGGATTGGACGGCGACGTGGGCAAATTGTGGGGTGAGAATAGGCGAACTTGTTACGGTAAAGGAAAGCCATGATGCGAGTTGTCAAGCTCCCGCTGCGGCGCGTCATTGTAGAGATCGTGGGATGGGAGTTGGTGGCTACTGGACGCCACAAGCAGAGTATTTGCGGCGTGTCTGCGGCGACTATGCGGCGGGGTGGTGTCAGACCCTCATCTCATGCGTGCGCTGGCTGGTGAGTGGGAGCTTGCTGGCCAACGGGTGTGGTGTTGACGACGGCTGGCCTAACAACAGCGGGACGATGGGCGATGTTGGCTGACCCAACTAGCGTTCTCGCTAAAATGCGGTGCTATTCCTGGATCATGTCACGCCTTTGCGGTCAAATCTCGCTAGCTTTCTCGCTCTACACCGATGACTGTGAAAGCGTAGATACAGTCTGGTACCAGTATTTCCTTTTGCTGCTTACTGTACAGCTGCGAGCAAGAGTTCAAGGCAACATTCGCTGTTCGTAGGGATTCACTCAGCAGCCGTCTGTGGTTGTGAGACCTCGCACGACCAATTAGGGTTTGCCGCATGGCATCCTTGAGCTGCAAGAGTTGATGAAACCATGTTGATCTTTACTTCCCCTCTTTCTACATTAACGCATATCTAACATCTTACCCTCTCTTTCTATCCTCAAAACAGGTAGCATACCTAATCTTAATTCACGATGGATCCCCTGCCGTACATGTTGTTCCATAGCCAGAAAGGCTACTCCTGGAAAAGGGGGACTGAACCTGCACCTGATGATCTCCTCCAATCCGTCGCCATCAACGTATCGCAACCTGGCGCTCTCATGACCTGGCTCGAGACAAACAACGCTGCTGTCATCACTGACCTTAGCGTCCATGTCGACGCAACCCACACCGCACCTAGTCCTCAGCGATGGTGCTTGCTTTTCGACAAACTTCAACGAGAAGCAACCAATATCCAGAATCTGAAGGTCTTCTGGGATGCAGAGGGGAGTCATATGGGGCTAGGCAAAAGCGTCGTTTTTGTGCGCGGGCTGGCACAACTCAAGGTAGAGAAATCGTTGGAGGTTGGTGGGCGTTATGCCATACAATGGCCGAGATACTTGGAAGAGACGATGGGCCTGAAGCCAGTTAATAAAGATATCTTTCCAGGAAGCTCATGGGTAGCCACGTTGAGGAACTATCAGAGAGGGACCGAGAACCGGGATCCTCGTGTCATCACTGAGGATGGAATTTGGGATATCCCGAGACGTGAGGACTTGATCGACCTCCCCGTATTGTTGCGTTCTTGGTTTCCCCGTTCTGGCGATTCTGCTATTTCGTTTTCGATGTAGTTGGCTAAGAATTCGCCCACACGCTCATTTGGAGGGTCAGGCAGCAAGCGAGGTCAAGCAATGTTACCTAAATAATCTTTGTTGTGATACTATTATCGTGGCGATACTATTATCGTGGTAGTTCTAGTTCATACCCGTTGCTTTACCTCTTTCAGAAAGAGCGTCTAACTACCTAGGTACTACTCAAACATCTTTTCACTTTATACAAGAGAAGAACACAACAAGTTTAAACAGGTGTAGAGACTACATTAAGATAAAAACAGGTAAAGTAGGTAACTTAACGTTGATGTACACCCACGACTTCCGCAACATCGACGACCTCGACGAAAAGATACTCTCACGAATGAGAGAAATCGCAAGTATAATAGACTGTCGAGTGATTCTTTTAGGTGAACGTGTTGCCCTGCCCGCCGCCCCTAACCTTCGTGATACTACACAGCTGAGCCTTCACATTGCAAGACTCGAGCTGTAAAAGCCATAGTTGTGAAAGGTGACAAGACTTCTGTGTAAGCAGTGTTTTAGTTCGCACATTGCATCTCCCCTCCCCTACAAGAAGGACAAAATCATCACTTAGCCATTTCAGTCGAAACATTCCAACGCCACCACTGCCGTCAAAATGAGTAATCTTGTAGGTATGCCCGTAACGACCCAAAAAGGTCTTCGCTGGAAGAAAGACCGGTCTTCAGGAGTGATGCCCGAGTGGACAACCGACCCCAGTATTAAGGACATCACAACCCTTGTGCGCCGAGAGCTGGATATCCCGACTTCAGACCCATGCGTAGTTCAATTCCTGACCCAGAACAACTTCAACAAGGATTACATCGTCACATGTGGTAGCGGCCGAGAATACATCCTGCGTCTAACTGTCCCCGTCGACCCAGGATCAAAGACTATGAGCGAGGTGGCTACTATCAAGTATCTTCGTCACGATACTGAGGTTCCAGTACCGCAAGTAATCTGTCATCAGGCTAGCACCGACAACGAACTTGGACTGGAGTGGATACTTAGGGAGCGTATGCCCGGTCGCAAATTGGGTGACGAATGGAATGGTATGAACTATCTCAAGAAAGAGCATTTAGTGCGTAAGATAGCCTCAGTCCACGCACAGCTCTTCCAACAGCGGTTCGATCAACTGGGTAACCTGTATCCTGCGAATGAACTTCCTCACTTATGCACGCCAGGCCTGGATGATATCGCCTTGCTTACCCTGGAGGCCTCAATCCTCTCTCAGCATGTCGGCTTAGGCAAGATCGTCTCCGCGCCATTCTTCTGGGGCGCACACATCGACCACAACGTCCCGCGCGGTCCTTACAAGCGTAGTCAAGACTGGCTCGCCGCACAGCTCCAACTCAGCCTCCTTGATCTTGACGACGAGTGCAAGCTTGAAACCTCTGATGAAATCAAGCGCTCGATATACCAAAATATCATCGATTCCTATCCCGGTGAGCCTGACGAAGCGGCAACCACTATATGGAAGAAACAAATCGATAGAATGGATACAGCGCCGCACCTTCAATATGCCCGTGAAAAGGTCGAAGAAGGTAAGCAGCGAGCGCAACGCCTGCTTGATCTCATGCCAAAGATTTTCCCCGAGAAGGAAGATGACGAAGAGGAGTTTGTGCTCCACCACCACTCCCTCCACGCATCCAACATCCTCGTCGACTCCAACAGCTCTTTAACCGGTATCTCCGATTGGGAATGCGTACACACCGCCCCCCTATGGCTCGCATGCCAATTACCCTCATTCCTGGAGTTGACCGACTCCACCGCAGCAGTGTTCGCCTACCTCAACATCGAATATGTTAATGAGGAATACAAAACGCAAATAAAGCTTCGGCAGTTTTTCCTGGAAGAAATGCAGCGTATCTGTCCGGAATGGGTCGAGGTGCACAAAGCTAGTCAGCTGAAAGTGGGGTTTGAACAGTGTGTGCAGCATTTTGGTAAGGCGGGTGATGGGAAGTGGATTGATCGGTGGATTGGGGAGGTGGAGGAGAAGGGGAGTGCGCCGTTGTTGAAGGAGATTATAAGGGCTGAGTGGGTTAGGGATTATGTTCATGGTGGGTATCCTTTTGGGTCAGGGCTTTTCTAGTATCGGCCCTATCGGGTTGTGGGATGGGAACATATCTGATGGTTGCGATATTGATCATTTCATGCTCGCTATAGGTAAGATAATGAGCGAGACTGTTTCGTTGTCGCGAACGACGTTGTGCTACGCATGTACTTTGTGGACTTCCATATCCATTGAGACAAAGAGAAAATACCAGAAAAGGAAAAGATGCAACCAACGACCATAGGTCATACTGCTGATGATATGCGCCGCCCCATGCAAGATTGACAAAAGATCCTTGACAATGAAAGAAATTGCCGATTTCCGAGAGAGAGCCCCCAATGCTATTCCGTCTGCGTCAACACGCCTTTTTTCCTCTTCTAATCCAACGAAAACTTCTCCCTCTTCCAGGTCTCGCGGTACACGGCAATGGTACTCGCGGCGTCCTTGCAGCGCTCTGGTGCACGGACGGGTAGGTCGACGACAGCGCGACGCAGGACGCCACGCGCAGGTACGCCGTAGAATTGGATGAACTTCTTGTGGTAGTCGCGGATCAGGCCGCTGAGAATGGCGAAGTGTCCAGGCCAGAGTTGCTCGGAGGGTGTGTTGCATATCGATGAGATGGCATGCCAGTACTCTGCCATGGGGATGGCAGGCGCCTTAGCGGCGAATGAGCGGAGGGACATGGAGGCGTAGCCAGCTCCGATACCGCGCATGCGCTGCGAGTATGTCTCTGGGGTTGAGTCCTCTTGCCAGCCTAGGCGCAACCGACCTTCCTTGGTGTTCATGGTACCGCGGATGCCAAACAGAGGGGGGCAGGCCTTGTGTAGCTTGGCCAGCGCAATGTCGATGAGAGGCAGGCCGTTCCACATGTACTTCTGGTCGCCGAACAAGCTGGCTGCTATCAAACCAATCTCCTGGATGATGCGTCCGTCGGTGTTGGCAGCCTCCTTTTCGAATTGCTTTACAAGGAACTTCTCGAAGCAGATCCAGACGTAGAGCAGGAACGCCGGGTATGCGGCTTCGTTCTCGTTGGCCAGCTGGGGAACTTGGTGGGAGACAATGTATTGTCGGATGTCGACCATGGGTCCGGGTGTTGTGAGGGCGATGTCGAAGCATTCGGTTCGGAGGCGCTTGATGGCGGCGACACTGTCCTTGCGCTCCACTGTGATCTGGCCAAGTCGAGTGCGGATGGCGCGTCGGGCATCACCAACGGGACCCTTGAGTGGGGAGGTTGGCTTCTTATGTTCCTCCCAGAAAGCTTTGCGGAAGGCCTTCATGCGCTGGTGGAGTTCGAGGTATTTGGCGTGAATCTGATCGGCGCTGGTGCTAGTTGCCGGTGCGGCGGTGGATGGCTTTGGTGTTGCAGCTGCTTGTGTGGGAGCTGGCGCGGGGGCGGGCTGGGCGGTTGGCTGCTGTGGTGGTGCTTGCTGTCGAGCCTTCTCTGCAGCGGCCGCAGCCTCGGCAGCCTTTCGATCAGCTTCGTCCTTTTCCTTCTTCTGCTTCTCAGCGGCCGCCTGCTGCTCTTGCTGGGCTTTGATGCGGGCATCGGCCTGTTGGAGTTTGAGCTTGTGTTCTGCGGCTTGACGGGCGGCTTCTTCCTCGCGCTGTCTTGCTTCCAGAGCCCTTCGCTGAGCCTCGGCTTGCTCGCGGGCCTTCTCCTGCTTCAGGCGCTCAATCTCCTGCCGTTGAGCCTCTTCATGGCGAAGGCGCGCCTGCTCTTCTTCCAGGGCAATGCGTTCGATCTCAAGCTTCGCGCTCCTGAAGACGCGCTCGTGTTCCTCGGCAGCGTAGGCGAGTTGTTGGGCATGTTGTTTCGCGCGCTCGTTCGCAGCCTGGTCTAGCTTCTCGTTGAACTCCCGGTCGGATATGCTGAGGCGGAGGTTGAACTCGAGGGCTAATTGCTTGGCCGGGCTCTCATAGGGGTCGCGGATGAGGGATTCGCGCTTTTGGCGGTGACTGCTGCGGCGATTCGGCGATTGGCGTGTGGGCGAGGCGTCCATGAAGCTGGAGCTGAAGGAGGTGGCGGTATGCATGCTCGACGACGAGGTGCCCGATCTGGCGGGCATTCTGGCGCCGTGACGTTAGTTGGGGTCAGGGTGCAGTTGTTGAAAAGGTGGTTGGTGAGAGCGCGACGGTCAAAGAAGTCTAGTCGGAAGCTAGCAGCGACCAGCTCCGACTCACGTGACATCGCTCATCCCTGCAGCAGCTTTCACCGCGCTACGCAGCTCCATTGTAGTGCTGGCTAGCGTACCTGGAACATCAACGGGTCGCGCTCTTTCGCAGTCGAAGCACTCGCTCGATGTCTGACGCCGTGACGTAACTTCATCCGCAGCTCCACCTGGGCCGTCGATTGATTAAGATGAGATGGAGTCAAGGACGCTGAGTCGCGCCTTGGGCAAACACGCCATGTTGCGCCTTTCATAAAGTTCACAGGATGCGTCTGTGCCCAAGCTGGTGGGACTGCACCCGCCAAGCTGCGACGCTGTGAGGGCACGCGCAGGCCCTGGAGAGGGCCGTTTCACTGACAGAATGTGACAAGCTGGGGAACGATGTGACTCCTGTCCTCGAGTTTCAGCGCGGCATGGCGCGCGAAGCCAGCATATCTGTCAGATTGTTGGACTATCGAATGCCGGACATGACAAGCTCGCAACCCCAGCGCAGTGGATCCATCAATATAACCTCGACCCTTGCGCCGCCCTCCCGCGACGCTGCAGCGGACTGTTGTTCGTGTCTAGAAACGCGCGCCGGCTAAGCCTGCCTTGAAACGTACAGACCCAAACGTGATGCTTCACCTGGGGCGCGCTGAGACGCATGCCGACTGCTGCTGGCGGTATATATACCAGCTCTGAGCCGGCAGCGCCTCAGCCCCCACGGCCCGGCGCTTGCTTGTATCTACGTTAATTTCTCACTCCTTCAGTTCGGCGCGGGAAGCTGCATATCTGGCTTCGCAAGTGACGTACGCCGCTTAGACCTCTCCCAGGCTCGCTCGTTTGCGGAAGAACAGGCGATCTTTGCCCAAACCGTGCTGCTGGCCAAGTCCCGCCATAGCCATCACCACCTCGAGCACGCTGACGGCCCTCTTGCCTGCCCTCTGCCCTCTCTTCCTGCATCCCTCCTGCCCGCCCGCCCCGATCGCTCCCTCCTTCGAAGCACTCTCTCCGCCCGCATTTTGGTTGTACTGCCACCAACAGCCCGCCCCAGGGAAACCGCGCTCTTTGATCTGGTCGACCCTCCTTATCAACCCTCCTAGACCAACGACACATCTGTCTGAACACGACACCACCCGCTTCTGACTTGCAGAGCACCACCCCGAGTAATCATCGTCTACGAGAGTATCCTCTTCGCCCCGAGCACCGCCCAACCAGCACGCTTACCCCAACGTGAGTTGTCCCCCGCTAGCTCGCTCGCTGAAGCATGCCGCTGCCGACCCTGCATCTGTCCCCCATCTGCCTCCTTGCACTCTCACCACCTGCATCCCTTCGCTCGCTCGCTCGCTGCAGACCTCATCCAACCCATTATGCTGACTGCCCGCAGATAAATCCATCACACTTTTGACCAATTCGTGTCCGACCGTCTCTTCTCCAACAGCATACACTGCAAGCGGGCATTGAATCATCCACACCACATTATCCACTATGGATCAGCAACAAGGCCAGCAGGGCCCCATGGGTCCCGCCGGTCGTCGTCTGCACATTGCGCATCGCCGCAGTCCGTCAGAGCTGACACCGCTGATGAGTACGTGAAGCTCTCCGATAGCCACTTTGGGCCATTGCTGACAGCTGCACAGTGGAACAGCTCGCCATCGCACAGCAGATCGAGGTCCTCCAGCAACAGCAGCAGCAGATTGCCGCCACGCACCAGCAATATGTTAACATGGGCATGATCCAGCCGCAGCAGCAGCTCGGCAACTTCCAGATGCAGGGCCAGATGCCCAATGTCTCGCCCCAAGTCAACAACTACCAGTTCCCCCAGCAGATGCAGCAAATGCAGCAGCAGCAACACCTCGCTGTCCCCATGGGCGCACCAGCCCAGCCTGGCGCCCACCGCCGCAACCAGTCCGCCCTGCCCCAAGTCGGCATGGGCGGCCCACCCCCCGCTCCTTCCTCCGGTTCGTCTGGCTTCGGCGAATTCGGTGCACAACAGGGTGGCCAGGGTAGGGAAAACGTCAACCCTCGTGGCCGAGGCGGTGGCAGTGCTGGCGGCTCCGGACACACCCGCCGTCACTCGCTAGCTCTCGCCGACGCAAAGAAGGCTGCCGAACAGGCCGAATCGAAGAGAAAGACTTCGGGCTTCCAGTTCCCTATCCCCGGCTCGACCGAGGGTAGCTCCAACCGCGATGCCAGCCCCAGTGGCAACAGCGCTTCCAACGACACTTCCGCCCGTGGTGGACGAGGTGGCCACGGCCGCAGCCAGAGCATGGCTGTCGGACGCGGCGGTGGAAGTGCTGGCCGTGGCGGACCTTCCTTCTCCTTTCCAGCTACCAGCGAGAACCCTACCAACCAGAACAACGGACAGCAGTCTGACTTCCAGCGCCGTGGCAGCCAAGGCCATGGCAGGAGCCAGTCTCGCAACTTCGAGGGCAACTGGAGACAGCCCCAGAACAACACCCAGCAACAGCCTACGCAAGACAACCAGTCCCAAAACATGGGCAACTTCAACATGAACCAGACCGCCAATGCCGCTCCTTTCCAGCCTGGCCACCGCACTCGTGGATCGGTCAACCAGTCCGTTGGTTCTCTTGGCAACTTCCAGTACGGCGGCCAGCCTCAGATGCAAATGGGCAACCAGGCCCAGCTTCTCCTGCAACAGCAGATGTTCGGCCAGCCGCTAAACCCCATGCAGATCGCTCATTTACAGGCTCTCCAGGCCGCCCAGATGCAGGGCGGCGGTCTCGGAGGCAGCCAGCATGCACCGCAGATGGGCATGCAGCAAAACCAGCAGCAGCAGCGCAAGACGCTATTCACTCCTTACCTCCCGCAGGCCACCTTGCCCGCTCTCCTCGGCGACGGCCAACTCGTTGCCGGAATCCTCCGCGTCAA